AAAAAAAAAAAAAAAAGCACTAGACATGATAAAATTTAATATATTTCATTGGATCTTATTTAGCTTCCTTCGTCCGTTTGATTTGAATTAACCCATGCAATGTTAAATATTATTCTAAATATTATTTTAATAAAAACTTAAAATTTACTAATAACCAATTATACCTTTTTTTTTTTTTTTCTAAATTAACTCTAATTAACTAAAAAAAACCACTTTGAGTTAATTCACTCAAATTATTCTTTTAACAAACACACAATCCATTTCGGTAACCTCGCATACATCGAAGCATCAAGGACAAGTATTTCCAGCCTCAATTTCCTACCGATTCGGAGCCTCTAATTGTTTTGCAATACTGACGACCATCACTCCGTATGCCCGCCGATATTGGAGGCCTCTTTGTTATCATCCGACTCGGTAATGCACTGTTAAGGGCCTCAAACAGCGTCTTGGGCAACATCAACACCTCCACCGACATGGACCGAAGTCATCCCGGTTCACACGGCAAACCGGTATAACCATAGAAGACCGAAGTGTTCATTGTCAACCGATGTCACCCCAACCGAGATCAACACGAACCGAGGTCGTCACCCCCTAAGTAGGTGACAAGACGCCTACACACCATTCTCACAACCTACGAGGTCTGTCATCATTCAAGTGGGACCCTCTGACCCTGCCGCCCATCAAAAAGTAACTTTATAGAAAAAGCAATGCACGAATCCCGATATGTATATCAAAAAAGTTACTATAAATAGCGAACTGATAGTACTTGTACGGGATTCGATACGCTTCCCGAACCAACAAACAAACTGTTTACAAGGAAACACGCAACAGCTCACATAAGCTTTTCACCTCGATTCACCTCGGACCGGGGCCATTGTTGAGTATTTCAGACATACTTTACGTTCAAATCATTCATAATCATTACATGAATCCACCATCAGATCGTTGTTAACAATCGCATAACAACAGTTTGACGCTATTATATATAAAAATGCTCTTGATAATTAGTGTACTTATTTATATCTTTAACATATTAGTATACTTAATTTTTTTATCCACCAGACTTAATACACAAATTAAAGTGAAAATATGAAGCCAAAAGAGAGAAAAAAAAATGAAGCAAAGCAAATGAATGTGTGGGGGCGCCATTAGAAAAGCTGGATACAAGACAAACGACGATTCAATTATTGACTTTTTTGACCAGGTGGGTCCCACATTCCATCGCCTTATTTAGCCAATGAAGCTTAGAAAAGTGTTTAATTTCCCCTGAATTTATGTGAAATCAGTGTGAGAGGGACAAAAACGTTGTCGTTTTGCAGTTTAATACCCAGAGAGCGAGAAAAAGAAAGAAGAAGAAGAAGAAGAAGGAGCACTGGAGCAGGATTTCGCAGGTGACGACACTCGCGTGGACAGCACGTGGGGCCATGAGAAATTGGGAAACTGTGGGCCCACACGAGGAAAAAAAAGAAAGGAAAAGAATAAAAAACAAATGGGTTTTGATCAGTCGGTCGGGTCGCAGACCCGTGCCTTGCGTGGGGCTCTTGCTCAGTTGTTTCATCATATTTCCACCAAACTAGTGCATATCTCGTGCGATGCGCGGAAGAGGTCATATGTAAATACAAATAATGAAAAACATATATTAATAAGCATTTCTCTTTGCACATCATCTTTTATTTAAGTAATATTAATATTATACCTTGCAGTTTTGATTTTTTTTTGTCTTTTATTAAATTTTGTTTTACATAAAATATATATTAGTGGCTAATTTTAAATTGAATCTAAAATTCACAGAAATTCTATGGTGCCACATGTGGCACCATATTATGGTGCCACAACATGATGTGGCACATTATAATTGGTGCTACAATTATCACATATCATGTTGTGGCACCAATCATGATGTGCCACATCATGTTGTGACACCATAACATGTGCCACATGTGGCACCATAAAATTTCTGTAAAATTCAACTCCTCACATTTTTTAATTTGAATTTTTAAATAAAGAAATATGTTTCAATATTTTTTGGAAGTTAGAATATGTTGGATTCTTTTACTTGCCAATTCAAGTAATTAGCTCCCCTTTTTTATAGTAATATAGATGCCAGAACACAAACAATCATGTCTAGGTAAATGTACGGGTTATCAGAAAAACCACACGTATAGTTGTTGTTTGGGAAATTATAATTAGTCGATCTACATCACAGTTCGTGAAAGATTCGATCTTGACCTCAAACTCGTTTAGTTAAAGAGCATAATAGAGCCGAGCTCGGCTTTTTAAAGTTCCAAAAAAAAAAATGAACTTCTATTAAATTTGTTTATAATTCGACTCGTTTAGTTTGGCAAGTCAGACTCGATAAAGGCACGATCATTAAGAGCTCGAACCCGTTTATAATTGGCAATGTTGTGCAATATTTGGATTTCACATTTATATAATTACAACCACTTTAAATATTGCATTCATTGGGTAAATTAAGACATTACAAACAATATCACACATATCTAGGAGATAAATGCATAGTGTAAAAGGTCTAGGGAAAGTGTATTGGTCTTTTTGCTTTTTGGAAGTTTAAGAGCAAACAATATGAACTTTAGGTTATTCTAACTACATAATTCATAAATTCTTGTATGAGTTGGAGCATAATTTAACTGGTTGATATGTTATTTAATTAATAAAAAAAATAAATACTCATGATATAAACGGATAGAATTGTAAATGAGACGAGTTCATACTCGAGTTCGTATCA